GCGAGCGCCCCGGGGGCGCCACTTGCTGCAGCCGCGCGGAGGGCTCCTCCCTACGTGACCCTCGGGCCTCGGTGAGCCCCGCGGCCCACACCCCCTCGCCGGCCGCCATCCCTGCGCCCGTGTCCCGGGGTCCCTGAGCGCTGCCCCAGCCTTCGCCGACCCCCGCTCAGCCTAGCACCGCCCTCCACCACGAGGCCCCAGACTCACCCTGCGCGCCCCGCAGGGCCCTGGCCGCGCACCCCGGCGGGGCGACGCACGGACGAGGTTGCAGCCGGGTGGTGCCGGGCCGCGGCCGCGCGGGGAGGGGCTCCGAGGAGGCAGCCTGCTCCGCTCTTGCGGCAACACTCCCTGACGTCCTGGTGGAGAGGCGATGAGGACGCAGCGTTGGTGGTAATAATAGCTTGTATTTATTGACCGCTCACACCGTGCCAGATTCTGTGTTAAAACCCTTTACATGCATCCATCTTCGCGTCGGCCCTGTGAAGTCGCCACCGTGATTAGCCTCAGTTTTCAGAGGAAGATGCTGAGATTCAGAAAGATAAAGCGACTTGCCTGCAGTCGCAGGTAAGTGGTGAAATCAAACTGGAACTCAGATGTTTCTTCACACCCTGCCCCTGCGGCTGAACATGAAACTGTGACCCCAGGGCCTTGCAGATGTGACCAATGAATCATTCCCTGGTAGAAATTCACAAGAGGGAAGGAAGAAGGGGAGAATGTGGGTGAAAAGTGTGAAAGAAGGAATGGTGGGGCCCCAAGTTACCCAGACACCCTGGGTAGTGGGATAGTTCCCAGTGGTCAAGTCAGTGGCAGGGGACTATTACCATCCAGAAACCTTCTCCTGGCTCATTCCTCTAAGACAGAGGTTTTAATATATTATACCTACTAACTATTGAGCAGCTGGCTCCGGAGGCCCTCAAGGTACCTAAAACTAAAATGTCCAAATCTAAATTCATTATCTCATCCTCTTTATTGGCCTTTATTCTAAGAAGTTTCACTAGGGTGAAAAAGAACCCTCCCCAACACGTGCGCGTGCGCTCACACACACACACACACACACACAGACTGGATGAAGCGCTACTTCATCCATTCCAGTGAGTTGCATCACCATCTACTACTGCCTTGCCTAGGCCAGATGCCTCAAGATCATCGTTGACTACACTTTCACTTGACTTGAGTGAATATAAATGTTTTAGCTTTTTATTATAGAAATTTTCAATATATATATATATATATATATATGTATACAGAAGGAGACAGAACAGTATAGTGAACTCTCATATACCCATTACACAGCTTCAACAATTATCAACTCCTGGCCAAGAATTTATTATGATTTGACAAACTTCTATGATATAAGAACCAGGTACCAAGTCCCAAGCTAGGCCCTAGGGATCCAAAGATGAATCAGAGTTCACAGTAACTCCAACCTGGAAGATATAATGTGGTCTTGGTCCTTGAAAGATGAGTAAGAGTTACCCAGAAGAAAGGTGTCCTCACTCATTCAGTCATCCTCTCACAACAAGTAATTGTTGTGTGGGAGGCACTGTCCTTGGTGCTAGGAACTTGTAAAGAAACAAGATTTAGTACCTGCCCTCATGAAGCTTGACTAACAGGGAAAGTGACATTAAGCATGTGATTAGAAATGTGATGAGTATCTTGCAGGAGATATGATCACAGGATGCTATGTGAGTGGACTAAATTTGGCCTCGGGAAGTTTGGGAAGGCTTTCTCATAAGGAAGTGGCACTTGTATGAGGGGAAAGGGTGAAGGAGATAGAGGTGATCCAGGAGAAGAGAAAAATGACTCCAAGTCAAAGGAGCAGTACAAGGAGGCCAGTATGGATGCGACAGTGGAGAAGAATGGCATCAGGTGAGGTGGAAAGGTGGACAGGTACCAAATCGAGGAGGGCTTTGTATGTTGAGCTTAGTGTTTTGGACTTTTTTAAGGGCAATGGAAAATCATCAAAGGGTTTGAGGCAGGGGAAAGGCATGTTCACCCTTGCCTTTTATATGATCACTTCTGGCTGCTCAATGGAGAATAGATAGGAGAAGAGCAAAACTAGGCAGTGTGGGGACCAGTTAGAAAGCAATTGATGTAGTCTAGGTGGGAGATGATCATAGTGGTGGGAGCAGAGATGGAGGAAACTGCATAGGTTTTAGATATAATCAGGGGATTGAATTCACAAAAATTAGTGATTGATTGGCTATGGTAGTATGAAGGAATGGATGACTTCCAGATTTCTGCTTGAGCAAATGAAGAAAAAAAATCCAGAAATATCACCCATTTACAAACAGCCCACCAGAATACTTGTCTTGCCAGTCCCACTGAGCAGGATGGCTGCAGTATCCAGGGAAGTCTCACCAAGTAACCAGAAGCTCACAGATAGGATGGTGAGGGTGGGGAAGAGGAGTCTAATTAGCTAAGATGCAAAAAGGAAAATTTACAGTTCACACTCAGTACAGTTTGACCCACACACAGTCTTCCTGAATCTCTGATCCTAGGTCTGCAAAGCCTCCTAATCAGTGGGGAGTCAACTGGTGTCCTTTATCCATCCTTTCTCTGCTGTATCTCACCCCTCTTCTGATGCTCTTCATGGCTTAGGAGCAGCCAGTGGCCTATGAGCCACCTCAGATGCTGTGTGTGGTTTTGAGCAATGTAGGCCCCTCTGAGGCAGCATTCTTTTAAAATTATTATCTTGGACCTATCAGGAAAACCTTGAATTAGAAGCAAATCCATGCAGAGTCATTCACCAGGAGTACTGGCTTTATGCTGTTTGGTTTGATAGGTCAGACTGGTGAATACTTGTGTTACCAGGCAGTTGGCACCCAAGGCCCCCAAAGGGAAGAACAGAGCTTTCAACTCTTTCATCATCAAAGACACTTATGGAGTATAGGCAGTCTCTTCTACCATTACATGTAAGTATTGCTTTGATATTATCATTTTTCTTGTAGTTGATCCAATAAATCTTTTTTCTTCAGGGTGGTTGTTATCACTTGGGAAATCCATAAGGAGTAAAATCTTCCCACATGTTATATGCAGTGGAATTCATAAGACAGGTGCTAGGCCTGGCAAGGACGTCCTCAACACCCATCTTCAACAGGACCGTTCTAAAACATTCCCAGGTGGAGCGTATAGGAGGAGAAGAGAAAGGGACAGAGGACTGAACTTTGGGAATGCCAGCATTTGGCAAGGCAGCAGAGGAAAAGAAGGCCAAGAGGAAAACTAAGAAGAAACAGAGAATAAAAGAAGATCAGGAGAGAGTAATGTCATGGAAGAAATCCAAGGGAGGAAAGACTTTCAAGGAAGAAAATGTGGTCAGCAACCTCAAACGTAGCAAAGACTTCCAAAGTCAAGGCAAAAAGTTATCCTTTGAGTTTGGCAACATAGAGGTCATGGATCCCCAGGATATGATCTGTATCAGCAGGAAATGGAGGCAGAAGCCACAGTGAATTGAGGAAAGGAAAATGAGGAAGTAGAATAAGTAAGTGCAGGGTCCCCTTTTGAGGAATATGGAAGAAAGAATAGACAGTAGATGAAAAGTGATATAAAGTTAAAGAGATTCTGATTTTGTCTTTTTTTTTAAAGATGGGAATACTTGAACATGGGTATGAACTACAAGAAGATACCAGTAGAGAAAATGAATTTCAAAGTAAAAAAGAAGGTGAGAGATCCTGGAGGTGATGAGAGGAGGTGGGATCATGGGCTCATGTAGAAGAACTGGACACCTGAACTTTACAGGCTGAAGGGATAGGGGCAAGGATAGGGGGTAGGTCGGGTAATTAATAAGGTGGGAGCAAGCAAGAGGTTTAGGTATTTCATGCCTAGTGATATCAATATTTTCAAAGTCTTGGGCCGAGGAAGGGAAGGAGGGTTGGTTGGAGAACAAGGAAAACCTTGCAAGATAAATATCCTGTCATGAACATGTTGTTGTTGCCTTTGTTATCTGTGCAGCATCCTTTCCCCCTCTAATTAGTAACAGCACATCAGTTTTCTGTGAAGACCCATGCCCTCCCCAGTCTAAGTCTATGTGGTTCAGATGGGTATCATCCCAGCCCCACAACCCACTTTAATGGTGGGCTCCTAACCCAGGTCAAAGTGATCAATTCAAAGATAGGCACATGACTGTGTTTGAGCCAGTGAAAATAGATCCAAGAATTTTCCTGCAACTGTTGGGCAGGAGGTGCTGGTAGAATGTAAGCCTGGTCTTATCTTGCTGTCAGGTGGGATGAGCTTGCCTGAGAATGAAGCCAACTCAAAGAAAGCACAGCTAAGGGATGGAAAGGGACAGATGCCTGATAACATCAATTTAATAGCTTTTTACCTTTTCCTGAAGTCATATGAGCTGATTTTTTTTTTTTTGCTTACACCACTTTAAGGTGGGTTTTATTGTTTGCAACCAAGAGTTATGACGAATACATGAGACAGATATTGCCTGTTGGTACTCAGCCCCACATCCAGTCTTCTATAATCTCCTCTGTACCAACAAGGCTGGAAATCTGAAAACCGTATTTTACAGATTTCTGTGTCACCTCGTTCCGATTAGGTTCTGCCAATGAGAACCCTCACTTGAGGAAGGTGGGAAGAAGGGAAAAGTCTTTCTGTTTTTGGCAGTGCCTCTGGCAACATCAGCAGCAGTGGTTCCAACCTAGCGAATGGAGACCCTTCCAATAGCGTCAGCAATACAGACTCCAGCTTTGTCAGCAGCCAGTGCAGATTTGCGGGTTCTACCTCCTTGATCTTTGGCAATACCTTTTCTCCCTTTTGCTCCTCTAAGCCAAGATTACTGGTAGTTTCCTGGTCTCTGGTAACCCTGCTTTCTCCTTCTGCTTCTCCAGACCTCCCCCACAACTTCGTAACAAATTCCTTGCTTTAAATTCCCATCTAATTGGAATATCTAGAGTGCTTTCTGTATTCTTATTGAACGGTGATTGAAACAATACACATTCTCCTATTTTGCATACACATGTGCGTGCACACACATACACACCACACACAAAGCTCAGAGAAGCTGAGGGTATCAAACCTCCAGAGTTAGTAAGTGGCCTAGCTGAGACTGGAGTTCAGATATGTCTGACTCTAAAGTTTTCACTCTTTCTCTGACCTAAAGCTGGGTTTTGTTATTCTTTTCTATTTATTTGTTTGTTTGTTTGTTTGTTTATGTATTATTTATAGAGGTACTGGGGATTGAACCCAGGACCTCAGGTACGCTAAGCATGCGCTCTACCACTGAGCTATGCCCCACCCCCTTCTTTGTTTTTTTATGGCTAGATTAAATAGAAGTTAAAGGAGGCAGAGAAATAAAAGCATGGTTTAGAAAGTTGTTTAGATGATCAACCTTGATGTTCAGTTTGGGTAGGGAAAAAATGGCCTTCAGGGAACAGAGGATGGGGTGAGAATAAAGGGATCAGACATCTCTGTAAAGTCAAAGAGCAGGAGCGTGAGACTGAAGTCATGAGGGGGGCAGGGTGGATAAAGGGTAAGAGGTCGGGGTCACAGATGGGATGTTGGAATTTAAGGAATCTCTTCACAGGTGGAGCAATTGTGAATGAGGATTAGGGTCTGAGTTTGGCCTTCCTAACTGGGTAGCTGAAATGGGGACTTCAGCAATTGAGGGGACATAGTCAGGAGATTGGTAGATGATGGTCACAAGAATGGCATGGCTCAACTGCTCGATGCTGAAGGAAGAGGAATTTAACCTGCATAGAAGGAAGGGAAATGGCATAGACGTGTGTGGAGTCCTGCCAATGCTGAGACTGCTTCCCATTCACTGGGACAGCTGTGGGGGAGGGAAGAGGGCCCCTGGGGCAGAGCCTGGCCTCAATTAAGGCTGAAGGTAAAGAGCTAGAGAAGTGTATTAACTGTGGAGTGTGTGAAGAAAACAGAGAAGCTTATTGACCATTGAGGGGGTGCATTTGAGAGGGCGCCGTGGAAAGTTTGGGAAGAAGAGGCACAATGATGAACGGGGAGAAGGGGCCATGGAGCAGCTTGGAGGTGAGGTGCTTTGCGCATGCACAGCCACCCCCAGCCCTGTTTTCTCCGTGTCCTGGGGCCACGCTGCGGTCAGTTATTAGCAGGAGGAGGCAGAGTCCTGGCGCTGCTTCTTACTTGCTGTGTAAACACAGCAGTTCCTTTCTCTACCTTTGGCCCTCTGTTCCCCCTCTATGTGTCAATAGTCTGGAAGAAGCCAGTTTGTGACCGGGATTCAGGAATCACTTGTGCAGAAATAAGATTTGTCCCTCAGTCCTCTCTTTCCTTGTCTCCTGCGGCCTCACTAGGAGCCTCAAAAGAGATGCTACGAGCTTCTCCACTCAAAGACAGAAGTGAGATTGTCCCACAAGCAGGGCTCTTTGATTCAAGCGGAGAAGCCCTCTGGCTTTATTGTAAGGCAAACCAAGAGAAGAGCTGGGCCAGACTCACTTCAGGAGCCATTTGAAGGAAGGCAGCCCAGGAGGCTGTTTACTCTCTGGGGCTGGGGAGGGTTCTCGGCTGCGGTCAGTTTCTCGACATCACTGTAGCAGAACAAATTAGGGCCATGGATGAGGTACAAGCCCAGACCCTTGGCAGAGCACGAGTTGGGGCCGAGGAATTTTGTCGTACACAGGGCCCCATCGACCTTCTTGTGGGGCCAATGAAGCTCTGTCCACATGGCTTTAGGTCCTAACTTCAGGTCCAGCCACCACAGCCGCTCTCCTGGGAAGAAGACACCAGACATTACATGGCTTCCACCTCATGGCTCCTACCCAGCCCTTCTCATGCCCCGATGGGGATCTGTGCAGTGAAGAAGTAGCAAAACAAGCCACCCCTTAGCACCAAACGCTCCTCACCTGCCACGATGTGGAGCCGAGAAGACCCAGGACAGGTAAAGGCTGCATCCACAGCATCAAGGGTGATCCCACTAGGGCTCCCAAATTCCTTCTCCAGCCGCTTTGGATAATTCTCTACTAGGGTATAGCCTCCCTTCGTCAGGAAAATATACACCTGGGTGCCCTGGAGGACAAAGGACATCAGTCAGCATAGAGCTGGATATTCTCCCAGTCTCCACCTCAAGCTTCTCTCCCAACACACACCTGGATCAGATAGAGTTTATCATCCCAGGAAAAGGCAGCATCCACTGTTGAAGGACCATGAGGCCACTGATGGTCAATGGGCCAGCTATGCCACCCCTCCCGGCTGGTGTCCAGACGCCAGTAGTTGGACCCTGTAGAGTAGCAGAGGCACCTCTAGTGCTGGTGGTAAGAGGCCAGGCAGTGAAGATGCAAGTGACAGATGCAGGGATGGGTCCTGAGAGGTAGCAGAGAATGCATCCAGAGGCCAAGAGGAAAGGGGCCCAGTGAGAAGGTGTAGAGCAGGACTTGGGTGGCAAAGCTGAGTGTTGAGACCTGATTGGAATTGGAGTTAGTAAGGCCAAGTCATCAAGGCCAACAGTGGCCAGGTTGCCAGGTAAGGCCAACGCCATGGGGTTTGGTGGGGGCTCCTTACGCATCTCAGGTGTCCGTGTGCAGAGACGCTACAATGAGGTGGTGGCCAGAATTAAAAAGGAAGCACTGCAGCCAGGTTCCCCTGGGTGTCCTCACCCTGGCTGGGTTCTCTAATCCCTTCAGATAGCGGGAGAAGGGTGGAGTAGCCAGACCAGCGCCCTAATTTTCCTCTCCCCTTTTCATAATGACACATTAAAGGAACTGTATAAACCCTCATTTACGTTTTCTTCCTCAGCCCACTTCACTTACACTCCTGTTTCCCTCCTCCGTGGATACTTCTCTGCAAGGTCACCAGTATCCTCCAACTTGCCACATCTAATGTCTTCATCTTACACTACCTCTCAGTGGCATTTGACTGCTCACAGCTCCCTTCCTTTAATTTCTTTTTTTAGATCTTGGGTCCTGTGATTTCACACTCTCTCAGTGTCCTCCTTATCTCTTTGACTCCACTTCAGCCTGGTATCTAATATTGGAATCCCCTAGTTTGGGCCTCTTCTCTATCCACACTTACTCTCTTGATGATTTCACCTAGTCCAGGGCTTTAAACACCATCTACATGCTGATGACTTTCGATCTGTCCTCTTCAGCTCTGCTGGACCTCTCCTTTGAGTGTCAGGCTGAAACTCAGCTGCCAACCTGACATGTCCATTTGAGGCCATTAGGCACCAAAACACATTAAATTTATTCCTGCCCCCCCCCCACACACACTGTACTACTTCCCTACTTTTGCCCAATTTTAGGAAAAAGAACCACAAGTCACCCAGTTGCCCAGTCCCCAAAAGCTAAGTCATTCTGAAAACTTCTCTTTTCTCTTTCCTACTCTGACCAATGTCCAATGCATGGGTATGCTGCTGGCTCGACTTCCCAAATACATCATGATGACCCCTCACCCACCTCTGCTGCTATCACCCTAGTCCAAGCTGTTATCACCTTTAATCCAGACAGCTGCAGGAACTCCTAGCTGGATTCCCTGCATGCACAACTCTATCTCTGAGATTTATATTCCACAAGAAGCCAGGATGATCTTTAAAAAACTAAGTCAGAATGTATCTTGGCCCTACTCAAAACCCCTTCCTGGCTTCCTTTTAGAGTTGAAAATCCCTCCCAGGCCTGTATCACCTGGCCCCTGCCTTCCTCTTCTCAAGCTCCTTTCCAATGCTCTCGCCTCACTGGCCTCCTTTCTTGACTCCTCAAAGTGTTTGCTGTCCATCCCCCTGAAAATGCTTTTCTCCCTCCAGTGCTTGATGTGGCTGATTCCCTTTTAATCACTGAAATCTCAGCTCAAAAATCTCTCGAGAGAAGGGGCCCCTCACTCTCTTCACTCCTACCCCATTGTCCTGTTTTATTTTCTTCCCAGCTTTTTGGGGGCACTTAACATTTTTTAATCTTATATTTGAAAATATCAGCAGTTCTTAAACCCCTGGTATTTGAGAATAAGAAGCATTCCGATGTGTTCACAGCTATTAAAGCTACTTGAAAGTATTCTCTTTCATTTTCTCTTTCTGATTTTCCTCTCTCCCTTTAGCAGTCTCTGTGAGGGCAGGTGTCTCATCGGCCGTGTTGACGACTGTATCCCAGTGCCTAGAATGATGCCCAGTGCCTATCAGGTGCCTGACAAATATTTGGTGCTCGAAAAGTAGCTGGTGTTCTCCGTGCAGGCATAGGTTCTCTTTATGCACATTAACTGTGCGAGTCATGGTGACTACATGTCCACCTTCCCCTCCTGCTCACGGCCCCTAGTTTGAGAATCAGAGCTATGCTGCTCTTTGTGCAGAGTGAATAAGTGCTGAGCCCCCAGTCCCTCCGTAGCCAGTGGTCTGGAATAAAGGTGAGGGCTGGGCTGGTCCTGTTCTCTCCCTGGAAATCCAGGTAGGAAAAAGGGCAGCCGAGGCAGTTATTAGCTGGCTCTGAGGCTAAAAAGTCAGGGCCGGAGAGAAAGTGGAGAGGGCATGGTGGTCCACATTCAAGCCGAAGTTGGGACAAAGCAGGAAGAGTGGGTGAGAGGCTCCGAGGTAGGGACAAGGGATTTATCAATAAGAGACAGGAGAGGCCCAGCCCTGTGCTGAGTGGCTGGGTCACCAAGGCAGTGCATTCTCTTCTCAGCTGGAGATTTTTAATACGACGGTGTTCTCTCGACAGCTATGGAATGTGCCTAATACTTTTGATTTAGAATTTAAGGTACATTC